GCCTTGGAATCTATGAATGTATGAAAATGGAACAAATGGAAGTGTCTCAGGCTCATTGATATTTTCTGTATCACATTCCTTTCCTAGCATCCTAATCCAGATGTTTACTGCCTATTGCCTTTAATAGTTCTGCCCAAGTTCCCTACAGTGTTACTTTGGTATGCCTCGGAATCCCAAAGCATGTTAACAGTACCCCTGAAAGGATGGAAAGCAGAATTAGCCCCACTTTACAGAGAGGGAAACAGAGATGAGAAGAAGAAGAAGTGGGCTGTAGCCCATGAAAGCTTATGCTCAAATAAATTTGTTAGTCTCTAAGGTGCCACAAGTACTCCTGTTCTTTTTTTAGAGATAAAGAAGTTTGGCTAATTTTCAGTTTGGGTGCCAAGAGCTAGGCAACTATATCGCTGTTGAGAAGCCTATGACAGTGTAACCCATTGGTCAGTGTATATTACATGTGCCCAACACGCAGAGGTTGTCAGTCTGTTATCGCCCCTCTGCAGAGCTTGGCTCTTTACCTGAAGCTGTAGAGATACTCATTCTCTTAGCTCTGCAGGTCCCCTGTTCAATCCCCTACAGAGCTTAGCTGTAGGCCCCAAGATTGAAAATTGTGCCATGAGTAAATAGCAGAGTAAGGTCTAGCGCTCAAGAGCGCCTGGCTCCTACCCGTCTCCATTGACCACAAGAACACAAAAACTTGATTTTTCAGGAGATCTCAGCCCCCACAGTTCTAACAGAAGTCAACAGAGGCTGTGGGAGTACCACAGATCTCAGGTCCCTTTAAGGTGCTGCTTGAAGCTGAACGTGGCAGTTTGCAGACTTATATGCTATGATGTTGTGCTGTGTCAGTCCTAGGATATTAGAGAGACCAGGTGGGTGAGGTAGTACTTTTTATTGGACCAATTTCTGTTGGTGAGAGAGGCAAGGTTTTGAGCTTGAAGATTTTGAGCTTGAAGCTGTGCGTGGCTTGAAAGCTGGTCTCTCTCACCAACAGAAGTTGGTCCAATAAAAGATATTACCTCACCCACTTCATCTCTCTAATTTTGCAGACTTGTCAGTAGTCTGTGGTGCAAACAAATGAATTTGGGAGGGAAATTGCAAGCGGTGGAAGCACTCCCTTACAGACAGTCAACAACGTTTGTGCAAGTTGTTGATGCCGAGAACAAATGGCTATTTAGAACTTAGACTGGAAAATCAAAAAACACACACACACCCATCCCCAATAAGTGACTCATTATCAGCGGCTCTGGAACCTGAGGGGCAGGATCTTATTCCATTTCCTTTATCAGCAACATAGATATCTGGGCCCAGTCTCCGCTCATTGGAGTCATCCATCATGATTACTTTCCACCTCTCTCTTGCTGCTCATAAAAGCTGGATTTGTAGTTTTCATTAAAAATAAAACAAAATCTCTAGTCCAGTTGCCCTACTAAGGTGCTGAGTTCAACCTGAAGACCCAGCCTAATATTAAGAGGCAACACAGAGAAGCCTCCATAGTGACTCACAATAATAATAAGGGAATAACTCTAGCTATGATATGACTGGGTTTACAACTCATAGCACCAGCGTTTGTTATACCATATGTGTGCCTTATCCCGCTGTGCGTCACTGAAGGATCTGTTCTCGGTACCTCTGTAGCACCAGAGATTAGCAACTCTGCCGCACATTAGCACGTGAGAAGCTTTATCCTTGACTGGCATTAAAACTGAATATTTGAAAAATGATTGTTTTGTTCTTAAACTAGATTCTTTCCACTTGTCAGCAATTGCCTGTGTATGAGAAGAGAGAAAGAGAGAGAGGGAGGATGTGGGGGGTCTGTCTCCCCTCACACATATGAGGTCATACTCTTTCCTAGGGCAGCTGTCACTGTCAGCAAGAACAGACGAAGAAGTAAGGCATATGCACCATCGGGACCACGATGCTCATTACCCCTAGCGTGACAACACTCCCACAGTCATGTGTTGCATGCTGTGTGTATAGCATGTTTCTTTCATCCTATGATTTGTCAGCATTTTACTAATTAGCACCACAAGGAAGATAAATACAACTCCACCCATTTTATAGATGGCTGACATGAGGTATGAAGAAGTTAAGTGACTTGCCCAAGGTTACAAAATAATTTAGTGCCATTTGTTAAGAATGTAACCCTAGAATTCGATTTCCAGTCCACAGTACTAACCACACTCTTACACTAGTACTACAGATACCATGGAGTAGCATAGCTAGTGCCTTAGGAATGTAACCCTCTGATTAATGTGATGGAAAATCATTTAAAATTAACGTGGAAGTTTCTTAATGAGTGTTGCATGCTGACTGATTCAAAAGCTGTATGTAAACTGTGGATAACGCGGGCATTAATCATAGCAAGTTACACAATTTAAGGGCATTAGAAAGATAAAGGCCCCTTTCCCCCAAACACTGAAGTGATAAAGTCATCACTGAGATAACATTCTTAAAGAGAACCATATTGATACATACTCAAAGATATACAGTAGTTCAAACCCAGGGAGAACTTTGCCAACCCTTCTTGGAAGATGATTAAAATGACACTAAACAAAAGAAAGAAAAAAGACAGACCCATCTGCAAACTTGGGATGTGATCCTAACCTCGGATGCTCCCAGGAAAGTCAATGGGAAATCAAACCTGGGTTTTTAGTCACTGGGAGCTGTATGCATGTCCCAAGCTAAAGTGTGGTCAGGATACATGGGATTTTTGAACATATTGCAGATTTTCAGTTTTATTGCCTTAATCAAATAGTGCCTGATGTTTCAAGATATTGAGCAACTCTTGAGAGTTTGTTGAGTGCTCTCAAGTCTCATCAAAGTCATTGGGAGCTAGAGGAATTCAGCAGATCCCAGGAGGTGCTCAGTATTTTACACCATTGAGCTCGTATATCTGTTGTTTGATTTAAGGTTCATTAGTATCATTGTGTCAGATTCATAGGCTCCCCATTTCACATTTTCTTGAGTTACACATCTTCAAAATAAATAAATAGTTTTTAAGTCAAATGAAATTCGGGAGCTAGGTTTACAGCTTTGTTCTACTTTGCAATGCAGGAGACACAGGGCAGAGTTACAATCCTGCTCATTGCTCAGTGGCCTGATGCTGTAAATTACTAACCTGTCTCACCTGTTTAAGTCATTGGGTGTTGAGAGCATTCAGTGTCTTGCATTATCAGGCTCCATGAAAGCAAGAGCTTTGTGGCGGCAGCATGCTCATCCCTTGGTGATCAATAGTTGCCACTTATCCACCACTTCTTGCTCAAAGTTTTCACAGAGCTTTACAGAGAAACTCTTTTAAACCACACATCACCCTTGTTTCACAGATGGAGAACTAAGTGGATTGCCTAAAATAGTCCATTGAGTCAGTGACAGACCTGGAAATAGAACCACGAAATTCTAACTTCTAGTAACTAGATCCCATCCCTTTCTGATGACCATCTTACTGCAGCCAGTCCAGGGAAAGAATACAGACTCAGATGTTCAAACCTGTATGCAAGCACATTTGTACTAACCCAATTTGTGCACTTCTTGGTCCTAGGATGCATTTCCAAGGTGGGATTTGCATGCAGAAACACTGCTGCTTATTGCACATGTACAGAAAGGACAGTTGCAGAAGTGAGTTTGAAAATCTGGACTGTATTATCCTATCTGGTATTGTCTAATACACTACATTAAATTCAAGTTATCGCTTTGTTAAAAATGATTATATACAAAGAAGAGTTTGGGTAAAATCTCTTTAAAATGCATACACTGAAAAACCCTATTGGCACTTAGACAGATAAGACCATTTTTACTGGCATATATTTTGCTTAGCGCTAGTTCAGCCTGTACTAATAGTTTAATAATTTTGGCAGCCACACCAGTGAAAAATGTTACTGAACCAGACGCAATTATGTGTACAAAATGTAAACAGTTGTTGTCTCGTGGGAATAGCTACTGTGTAGCCATGGCTGTAAATTGGTATGGTAGATTGCTCCAAATTTGTTCGTGACAAATGACCATCTGACGAGATTGTTTCTGGGCCTTGCTGCTGATGTGATGGCATTGTCAATGGAGTGTGATACCACCACACTTTTTGTTAGAGCTCTTAGGCCAGCTTTACAAAGTGTGGCAGCTCTGATCTAAGCTTGCGTGGGTTTTCTGTTGATTGCTTTTGGTAGAAAATGCCACAACTTCTCTCTAGACCCAAGTCATACGAGCCTGATTCCGGAGCAGTATATCCCCTTTTCCTCATTAGCCACAAATGGAATGGTTGCTTGGACTATTTCTTAACCTGACAAAATGATAAGGAACTGGTTGTGCTTGCAGTTTTGCAGCAAAGCTTTTAAAGCACAACAAAGCCTTTTCTTGCCTTCATTATGTTGACCATTTTGCAGAGTTGTATGATCTTTTGTATATGATGCGGGGGCACCCATTCAGCCGCCCTAACTGAAAGCAAGTCTAAAACTTGGTTAAAAAGCCTTCGGAAGAAGCTTGAGCGAAGCCCGGTCTGCAATTAAAGGACTGCAGTGGTGAAAAGGGGGAGGGGAAAAGCATTGGAAAGTGGGGGAACACAAAGATTTGGAGTTTTCTTTCAGCGCGTCTCAGAACTCTGAAATGAGAAGACCCTTCCAGCCAGCACCTGGCAATACCATTGAGTAGGCCTTCCTGCAGTTTAAATTAGAGTAACACTGAAACACAGCAGGCTCCTGCTAAAAGGGGGTAGGGGAGGGGGGAGGAAGAGTCTTTAAAAAAAGCTCTTTCTGATGCATTCAGGTAGAAGAGTGTAAAGTAAATAATGAAGTCTGAAGCCGAAGGGCAGCACACAAGAGCATGACTTTGCATTCCATTCAAGTCTGCTGCCAAGTTGCTGAAGGAGCACTTAGAAAATGAACTGTTAAGCAAGGCACGGCTCTGTGCTCTAACTGAGCTTGCAAATGCAAACCAGAGTTCCTCGGGAAAGCAAGTTAGAGGGCAAGCCACTTGGAACCTAGGCCACTACTAATCATTGTCCTTATCAGTCTTTTCCAGGGAGCCAGTAAACATGCATACTTCAGGAAATGGCATGTTATAAATGTGGGTGACTAAAAGCATTGCAGTGAAAAAGAAGGCAGACTATTATTTATCATCGCAGTTGCAGAGCTACCATTCCCTTGTTGTGCTACACTGGTTGTAGGGAGGGTGCTTCACCAAACCTCTGTGAAGCGTCATATGAGGTAAGCCTAATTTCTAAACCATATTGTTTTATTTATCCCTACTACCACCTAGTTTCCCATGAAAAGTCATCTGCTCAAGAGGTCACTTCACCCCCTAGCTCAGCAGAGCACACCGCAATGTCAGTTTTCCCAGGCTTCCCCCAATGTGGATGGGATGAAGGGGTATTTTGTTTGTGGTAGATTGGGATATGTGTACTGGATATTGACTCTTTGTCTCTACTTAATGATAAAGAAGGTAAGGCAAGTTGAAGTCACAATAAAATGAAGAATTAAAATAGATATTGAGATATGGAATCTGGCTACTTTTCTATACCACGTGTTCAATATTTTTGATCAAAAATGGGAAGAGAAAAATAATCAAAAGCTGTAGATTTCTGAGTTGTGGATTTACATGTGATTCTAGCTCTTAGAGTATTTCCATTGTGGTGTGTTAAACCCAGGATGATCATAGAAGGATCTGATTAGTTGAGAGAGAGGACACTGAAACAGAAATCAATGGACCAGAAGAAGTAATTTTTTCTGTGTGCAGTTGAACTTGGTGATGGATCTGCCTCCCCTTCAGTGAAGTGATGTACTCCAGCTTCCAATAGTCCCTGCCCAAATGACTACCGTTGTCCCCTGAATCAGGCTAATAAAACAAACCCAATTTAAAAAGCAATATAAAAATGTATAACCTTAAACTGGTCTTTATTTTTGGTCACACCCTCCTGTTTCCTAGCATCGAGGGTGTGCCATTTATTTAGCTGAAGCACTGAAGATGCAGAAAATATAAATGAGTAGGTCAGAATTCCTAATTCTGCTTCCTTCAGCTCACCAGCTTGGAACTGATGGGATCTGAATCGGCCATCCTCAGTGCTAAGCCAGAGCTTGGAACCAGGGAGGGGCAGGGAAATGGAGCAGTTACTGAAGCTAGACTACAGCTTTTATGAGCCTTCATCCAAAGACTGCACAGTATTGCCTTGAATATTGCAGGGGCGATATGCACATTTGGCATTCAAGACAGAAATTTTGGGAGTGGGCTGAGCAGGATCTCAATAGGATTTTAGATGAGCCGAGAGAGTCCGTTGCCTCTTGTGGTGTGACCAGAACTGAAATTTACATCCTGGTGGTTTATTTATGATATTTTATATTTTTAAAGAGGAGGAATTTCTTCAGGTTACATAGTGATTTCTGGGATAGCCCCTTTTTCATTGTTGTCAGTTGTTTTCAGCACAGGTCTGGAAAGGGGGTCGGTGCTTTAATTGCAGCTGCAGAGGTGCAAAATCATATGATTCCAGTTTGTATGTCATGGAAAATTGCTGGAAAATTACATAAGAGGACAGAGAATTCAAGAATGCATGTAGAGAGAATTCTCACTGACTTCAGTGGGAATTGCATCTGCTCCACCAGTGCCAAATTAGGGGGTAGGGCATTGTGAGGGGGGTGGGACTCCACTATAGTGCATGTCAGTTACCACTTTGGTTATCAGAGATTTTTAGATTTTATCTGGGTAACTATCAGAGTTTTCAAAAGCTTGAGTAAACCAGATTTTGTCAGGCCTGTTATTCCATCCGATCCTCCCCATCTGTCTGCCCTACCCATCCCATTGCTTTGTAGGAGTTGGTTTCACACAAATAGTGTCTGATTTTTAAAAAAAATATTTTGAATTACTTCTCATCGGTAGAACAATTGGTCCACTTCCTGATCAGATTTAGCCACCTTATCTTCACTTTCAAAGTTCCTGCAGGCTTCTCTGTCCTTCAAATTCCTCCTTAAAACCCACTCCTGCTTTGCCTCCCCTGCTGTCTGATGCTATTTGCTCCTGTTGCCCAACTGAAATGGTCTGTACTGAGTTTGTCAAAATGTAGAACATACCCTCCAAGGGTCAGGGACCTTTTCTTTATCTGTCCTTAAAAAGTGAAACGAGGGTAGTATGTAAATATCAATAATAGATGAAAGCAAATAAACAAAAAACAAGAAAAGCCAAGATATTTTTCAATTGGACGATTTGCCCTATCATATTGTACATTTCCAGGTAGCCCACAGTCTTGGAGCTTAAAAAGTCTCAAGAGAGCTCACCTTAACTGATCACTCTCGTTATAGTGGGTATGGCAACACCCATTTTTTCATGTTCTCTGTGTGTATATATATCTCTTCCTACTGTATTTTCCACTGCATGCATCCGATGAAGTGGGTTTTAGCCCACGAAAGCTTATGCTCAAATAAATTTGTTAGTCTCTAAGGTGCCACAAGTACTCCACATAAATTAGAGTTACCAATATATTTAAATTAGATGCATACCATTGAGTTTGTCTTCTGTTTTTTGAAGTGCCGGGTTCTACTTGCTGAGTTGTACTGGTTTGTTATCTTAATATTAAAAAAAATGAATGCAGGTGTGGGTGAAATGGTCTAGTAGATTATGCAGAGTGTTGGCAGTCAGGAGGAAGTGGGTTTTGTCACTGACTCTCTGTGTGACCTAGGATAAGTCACTTACCTTCTCTGCGCCTCTCTTTCCCCATATGTGCCACTGGGATAATGACACAGAGTCCGTATCCAACCTTCTTGGTTTAGGATTAAAAAAATGCTATGTAAGAGGATATTTTTAGGCCTAATCATGACACCTTCCCTCAGTTTTTGTCCATTTACTCAAGCAAACTCCCAACGACTTTAGTAGAGGTCTGAGTGGAAACTGAGTGGGAGAGCCTTGGGATCCGGCCCCGTATTTTGATTATTATTGCTGATTATTAGAAAACAAGGTCCTAGTTTCATCAAATCCACATCCCCCTTAGCTGACAAATTGTGCTGCTGCCCCGGATCTCTCTTGCTGTGGTAAATTCTAACATTTATAACCAGCTAGATGAGCCTATTCAATGAGAGGCTGTAACGAGCCCTCACAGGAATTCACAGAGGCAGGAGAAGAGACTAATTTCTCCACACTGAGGTGATAACACTGAGTAAATGCCATTAGGTTGGCCACATCCTGTTGTAAATAACATAACACCCAGCTTAAGGATTTATATGTAGTCAAAGGGAATCACACCATAGAGTCCTATCCTGCCCCACTGTATTCAGTGCGAGTTTTGACATTGACTTCATTGAGAGGCCAGATTTCTCCTTCTGCCAAGCTGGTGCAGAAAGCAAAATGCAGGTACTTCCCCCGACTCTCTGTACCTTAAGAGGCATTGCCTCTGATCAATTATGTTCTCCTAGTGACCTGTTACTCTCTGCCACTGACTTGCTATATGACCCTGGACAAGTCATGTCCGGGGGTTGCCTTTAAGAAACCCTATATTTGCCAACAGCTAACACACCGTGCTACCTGAATGTCCCCATAATTACAACAGGAACCAGCAGTTACTGCTATTAGGAAATGGCAAGAACGGTGACCTCCCTGCTGCATAAATTTAACCCTGATATAAGTTATGCTTCGTTTTTAGGCCAGATTTCCCATTGAAGCCAATGGAAAGTTCTGCTTAGAAATAAATAGCACAATTATTATCATTGTTTGTATTTCAGTAGTGCCTACGGGCCCCATCGTGCTGTAAAAACCCAGAATAAGATGAGACAGTCCCAGTTCTGAAGAACCTACCAACTATATAGAGAAGGGATGGGACGGGGAAGAGAGGCGCCCAAGATCACACACAACGTGAGCGGCACTGTCAGGAACAGAACTCAGATCTTTTAAGATATGGCTCCACTGCAGCTGGGTAGCTCACACTAGCGAGGCTCCAGCTGGCACGCTAAAAATAGCTGTGTGGCCCTTGCTGCTCCATCAGAGACTCTGGCTAGTCACCTGAATTCAAGCCCACGGGGTCAGGTGAGCTGGAGCTCGCCTGTTGGAGCCACAGTGTCCATGCTGCTTTTTTTTAGCGTGCTGTCTCGAGGCTGGCTAGTGCAAGTCTGTCTGGCGGAACCGGGAGGCTCGCGCTCAGCTGCAGTGTAGACATACCCATTGATCCACGTTCAGTCCCCATCCACCAGACTGCAGTGCCTCTCTGTATGCCCTGTTGTATTGATTGGTAAATGAATGACGTTCATAATGGGGATCACTGTCTGCTGTCTTAACTTTTCTACCCATTCCATTCTGCATTTTCTAAAGAGTAAGACAATACAGCATGGAGTTTCATCTCTCTAGTGTTTTAAACAATTACGGTTTTCCTCCTAGCTATATAAATTGCATGCATTTAATATTTAGTTATCTCTAGTCTGTTTACACTAATTTTCATTTATGCCATACATCTAGTAACAGAGGTAGAGTGGATTTCCTTTCTATTTTTGTTTCATATTAAAGCCTTGAGGGAAGCCCACTGTTTTTGATCACTCTCTACTGTGATGTAAGCCAGTGTTTGAGTTCTGCTCCAGTGGAATGTCTGAGACTTATATTCATGAATGATGTAGGTTATTTCCTCTTTTCCTGACTGCTCTATTTATAGTTAACATTGTTTGGATCTCCCATGCAGTCATGTGAGAGTGTGTAAAAAAGAAACAATCACAACTCTTCATTTGGCTTGTCTTATCCAACTACGTTCTGTTTTTAGTTTTCTTCAGTGCTACCTAGCAAGATCATTGTTTCTTTGTGTAGGTAAGAGTGTATGGCTTTGTTCTCCTCTAAGGCTATGGGGACCCTGTTTTTTTGCTGCCTTACATGTGATATTGTCATTTATACCTGTGCAAAATGCTGCCAAATCAGAATAACAGCATTTCACACCCGCGGGTGTGCACAAGTGTAAATGGATACTCTTTGATTTTCCAAACTCAGTTAGGATCCTTTAGGGCTGATAATGAGTTCACTTACATCAGTTTTAAACTAAGGTAGCTCTGTTGACTTTATTTGTGCCATTGAGAGATTTGAATAAGCCCTCCTTTATATAGAGCCACCAAGTTAGAGTTTATATTTAAGTTCTCAGGACATTCTAGGGCTTTGATTTGGTTTGGTGTAGAAGGAAGTCACAAAGATCAGGTTTGGATCAGAATTCAGAGCCAGAGTTTTGTTGTACCTTAGCACAGGGTCCTGGCAATGG